AGCAGACATTTCTACACAGGGGCCTCGCATGCAAACTGCACTTCAAGGAGAAGTCTGCACTGAATGGCCTGCCTCTGCACTGAACTGCCTGCCTACCTGCACTGTGTTTCTGCCATGTGAGCTGTCCCTTCAGAAATTCCTGGAATCCTATTTTAACCAACAGGACTGAAGCTTTACCCAACCAACCAGAGCTGTTCTATTCTGACCAATCGGGACAGTGCCTTTTGGATCACGCAAATTGCAAAAATTTGGAGTCCCCATTTACATGAGGAAAGACCAGTCAGGGACCAGGGAGGAGACTTCTGAACATACAAGTCCGTTCTCTTCTGGTTCTGACAGTTAACTTTTTCGACTGAAGACTGTGTTTCCCTGGCTGAGCTGAAACACAAAGATGTTGGGAGCAGACTAGCCCAGGCCAGAGCAGAGTGGCACAAAACAAAACAGACTAACGCACATGGAGCAGGCCAGGTAGTACAAAGCAGACCAAGGCACAAGGCAGAACTGTCTAGGTGGACAGGGGCCTATCCCTGGGGCTTCTTCAAAGCTGCAGCTGTGCTGTATCACAAATGAGCTGTTTTGCATAGAACGAAGTTTCCTCTTCACCATACCCCAAATCAGGGAATCCTGCTGGTTTTGAATTGGCACCAGCAACCATCAGTTGACAGACTTTAGCTAATAATAATGCACCGATACTGGTTTATCAATTCTAACAAATGTATCATTTAATACTAGATGCTCATAATGAGAACACATGCAGAGGGAAAGGACATACAGGAAACCAGTGTATTCAACACTCAATTTTCTTGTAAACCTAAAGTGGCTCTCTAAAATAAAGCCTGTGTTTTTTTTTTAAAAAAAGAAACAACTTGTAAATAAAAAACCTTGTAGAACTGTACAGTAAAAAGTATACAATTTAAAATAGTATAAATTAAAAAATGGATGCTGTACACCCCGCCTTGCTCCTATATAGAACTAAAGGAACGCTTTCACATAGAACAAGGGGCTCTGTGACCCCGAGACTTGCCAAGACCACCCAGATGCCCACATCCCTACCTGGACTGCAGAGGGGCCTGGCCCAACCCTCCCAGTTCCACTCTTCACCCCCATCTGTCCCTGTCTGCAGTCACTCACCCCCTATCCCCAACACACCAAGAAGATGATTTCTATTCAATGAACTTCATTAGCTGCCCTGCCCCAACCTATCACCACTGTATATCCAGCACCCATTCTTGTGCCTGCCACCATGTGGGTACTCAGATCCTTCCATGACTACACATAAAAATCTCTTACTGAGCCGGCACAGCACCTCATGCTATTTCAAACCTTTTCCTGGGTGTCACAGCACCTCTCTGAGAGATGACAATGTAACAGGTGAGGCACCCAAGCCCAGGGCAGCCAGATGAGCAGCTGAGGCCCACTCACCATGCACTCCACCCCAGAGTTGGCAATGCATTCACCTACCACTGGCTGAAACCCTTGCTGACATGAGCAAATGTCCTGTTGGTATTGCCTGAGTAATTTTCTGATTCCTTAGCCACTTCTCCAACATTTTCCACTGCGTACTGCATGAGAGCCACACAAGCTACCTTTACACTAGCCTCTACAAAAAAGAGCATCTAACTCTCTTCACTTCTACTGGTAAATTCAAGTGAAGGGTATATAAGTGGCTGCTGTGCTATTCTATCAACTTTTCCAATGTCTGAACTTTTCCTGATAAAATTTTCTGAAAGATTAAAAAAGCAGCTAACTTGCTTCTTATATGCAGAAGGGTTCGTTATATGATGCTCTCCTGTCACAGTGGAGAAAGAAGCTGGCAGCACCGAGCATCAATGTGCTTCTCTGCCCAGGATCTATCAGAGGGTCAATGGGGCTCAGACTGAGGAAGGCCTGGGGCGTGCCCAACATACCAGGCTGGAGTGGAGATCATTCTTGAGCTGCAGGCTGGTGAGACTCCTGACAGGAAAGCACTGATGGCAGCAGCAGGAGCTCTGTGCTATGAGCCACATATAAAGGACATGTGACTTCCAGATTTTGCTATGTCTCAGGTGGGGGTGGCAACAGAGCTTGCAGGCAAGGGGTAAGCAGGAGCTTGTCACCCAGGCAAAAGGGGCAGGAGGCAAGCCCTGTGCCTCAGCAGCATTCCTGAGCCCCCCACACTGGACACTATCATGGGGCCTAGGAGAAGAAGGAAGAGAGAAGCAAAGGGTGCAGGGCCTTCTGGTGGACTCCTTCAGTCCAGGGCCTCTCTGGGCCTTGCCAGAGCCAGCTCCTAGAGGGCTTCCCACCAGACAGGAATAGTGTCTACTCATGATAGGGCACAACCAAGCCTTAAGACACATGAGTTACATTTTTGTTGCCAGAAATAGAGATAGAGATGAGAGGGAGAGAAACACCAATTGGCTGCTTCTTGTATGTGCCATGACCGGAAACCGAACTCACAGTCCAGGTATATGCTCTGACCGGCAATTGAACCAGCGACCTTTCACTTTGTGGGACGATGCCCAACCAACTGAGCCACACTGGTCAAGGCTCTTCATAGCAGTTTAAAACTAATCTTTCTTCACTGTGTAATTTGTCTCATCTAATCAGATAAAAGTACATCCCTGATAAATACTCAAATTAAATAAATAAAGAGTAGAAAGTAGGGGCATCCCATATACCCACCACCTCAAGAGAACCCTGATATGAGACTGGGGTTACACGTCCAAATGCCCCACTGGCGTGGCTCTCATGCAGTACACACGTGTACCTGCTCAGCCTCACTTCTGAAAACAATCCCGCCTGAAGCTGAAGCAGCTCTTCCCTCCACAGCACTCCTGTGCTGGCACGAGCACTGCTCCAATACACGTCCTCACGAGAATGGCTGCCCCTAGTCTAACTACTTCCTAGAAGTGGGACTGTTGGCAGAGGGTTCACACACTTAGGAGTGGGACATGTTACAAGCTCACAGTCCTTTCCCACTATTTGCAAACATGATCAGCAACAATGCTGAATGACACCTCTCCATCCAGTCATGAAACGTGGTACTGTTTTAATCTGTCCTCCTCCTTACTTTGTGCAAAGTGTAGTGGGAGTGGCACAGGAGAGGGTCCTGGGAAGGCTGGTGCTATAACATTTATTCTGTTTCTTGACTTTGGTGGGACCACTTTGTGAAAACTCAGGAGCTGTGCACTTAGGGTCTACACATTATCCTGCAAGTTTGTCACACTTCAATTTAATGTTTGAAGAAACCGCATTGTAATTCTGATTACATCTGCACGTATTTGGAGATTAATTTAATAAGAGCAGACCTAACTCTATAGTGCCATTGTTTCTCTATGCCATCACCTGGCTAATCGCTGTTGGCGTGGTAGACCTTGATCTGGCTGAAACTGTCTGTCAGGTGTCTCTACTCTATGCTTCCCCCTTCCTTCACCAAAGGACGGGGGAAGCACACCATCCTACTTAGAAAAATGCCACTACTAACAGCCCACACTTAAGGAAAAGGAGCATCTACATAAATTATGTAGAATTCTGCACAGGAGATCTGCATCTTGTCCTTTATTTATTTAATTATCAATTCAATCAGTACGGACTCCTGGAAATCTGTGTTTTACATAAGCTGTAACCCAATTCTACATTACCAAGTAAGGATTCAAAGCACATACATGATGTAAACGCCCCTCTGGAATCCCTGATAGTTTGGAACCATCATTTCACCTGAGGCTTCACTGAGGCAGCTCCTTGCTAAGACTGAGAAGCTTCTGCTCAGCTCCTGGGTTTGTCGGTACCTTCAGACTTTTGGCTCAGAACTTTGGTGCAGCCCCTGAAACCAACCTTCTGACCATTGTCAAGCTTATCAAACATGCCTTGCTCACACCCCCGATCAGCTGGAAGGTACCAGGCATGCATGTCTCTCCGGATACCTGGGAGACAGTCTCTCACTGTCCTGTTGGGCAACCTCTTCTCTGTGGAATCACGAAGAAAGCCCCCTAAGACAAAGCCAAGCAAACTCACTGCTTTTTGATCAAACCAGCACTGAACGCCCAAGCAAAGAGCCAGAACACCCACTCCCCCAAAAAATCTGGGGCAACTGAAGTAAAAGGTGACATGAGATTTGCTCCCAAAAGTGCATCACAGGGGAAGTGCATTCCCGGGGGGAGGGAGCAATGACTCTGCTCTGCTGGTGAGGCAGTAACATTAGAAACTACCTCAGCCAAGGATCTCTCCTCCACTTAACAAGATTCCTCAGATGTATACTATACCAAATTTCCCAGATCTTAGAACAAAAACAGCTTCTAACTGACAAACGTAAGGCAGGTATACGGGTGGGAAGTAAAAAGAAATGTTGAAGCTGCAACAGGCAAACGGGGTGAGAGGCTGGTAAAGGACCCAAAAGGCCTCAGCCACCGGCCTCTTCCTACTTGCCTGGCCACACTGCACATACTTCTGGGAGGCTCCCTTTGTCCCCCACCACCAGTTGTTAAAGACTACCCATGCTCCCTCGAAGCTGAAGCGAATCACTGCTCTTTCACACGGCGGTGATACAGACACCCTAGTTACTATCAGGACTTGCTGCAAAAGGGTGGCAGTTCACAGAAATAAAGCCTCGAATACGTAACACAGGGATAAGGACCCACGCTGGACTGGAGCCAGAGCAGAACCACACACAACTAGCCCCACCTGGCAGTAGCTTGCACCCGAGAAGCAGGGGCTCACAAGCCATCCAACCCCAATCTAGAGAGACAAAAACCAGAGGTGCAGGAAGGCAATGTCCTGCAGGTGTAGCAGAGGTCACTGAAGACTGTTCCATGAGACTGCCTGACCTACACAACAGCTGGACTTTGACCAGTATGGGTCTGGGGTGGTGGGGAAGTACATCGACGACGAGGAACAGAGAGCAGAGGCTCTGGTGGGGTGAGTGGGAGGGACAGGTAGATATTTCAAGTTCTGTATTTTAGCAAACAATGCAAAATGCCCAACAGGAGCAGGTGGTGCCTCGCCATACAACTTGTACTTACCCAACCTGAATGAGCTCATTCAACTTTGTGGCATTCTTGTCATCCATACCTTTAAACAGAAAAAGAAACAGACATGACCTTGAAGCAGTTAGGAGAAAAACTGGTAAAGGTTCCCATATAATTATCTTTCACCTTCCATGCAGAATTTAAATGCTTTACAGAATAAAACCCCTACATTAGCAGCAGCCCCTCCCTCGAAGTCAAAACAAGGAGCCATTTGTGCTGAGGGTGCCGACCCCACCTGCACACCCTCTTCACCCAGCCCGACTTTCTCAGTGGGACCAATACCTGCCCCAGCAGAGAATCAGTCCTCCCCAAAACTCCAAGACTCTGGACTACGCTGAACCTCCACTTGTCCCCAGCTGTGTATTTCAGAGCCTCATCCCTCAGTGTAACCACTGTGCCCTGTGCACACTTCTCCTGCTGGGCTCTTGTGTTACTTGTGTGTCTGCCTTAGTCAGTGTTGAGCCCTAGGGTCCCAGGGTCTGCTGGATGACAAGCCTAGAACCTGTGCATTTCTTCTGCCCTCCTGGTTCTTAGAAAGCAAGGACAGTTCTTCCACCACCCAGGTAGTGGGAGAACCTAGGTGGTTCTAGGTCTTTGGATGATCACTGTAATAGCCTTTGAACTCTACTATGTATTTTTGGGGAAAAATGAGCCACAGACACAGCAGCCTGAAAACAAAACAAAACAAAACAAAAAAAAAACAACCTTAAAAGCAGCCAGAGGGGGAAAAAATCCCCTCCAGAGCAAAAAGGGCACAGACTGCTGACCTCTCACCAAAAACAGTGCTGGCCGAAGATGATGAAATATCTTTAAAGTGATGAAAGAAAAAAACCCTGTCAATCAGAATTCTATACCCAGCAGAAGTATCTTAAAACAAAATAAACACTTTTCAGATAAATGATAACTCTAAGAATTCATGGCCAACACAAGTACACAAGGAAGACTAATGGAGGTTCTGCAGCCTGAACTGAAGGGAACCAGTACAAGATGGAGATGGATCTTCAGGAAAGAAGGCACAGCCTCTGAGATGGCAAATGTATAGACTCGCTCATTAAACAAAGAGGTCACACGCGGACCTCCTTTGGATGGGCACGGATCAAAACGAGCACACGGGAGCGTAAGCGGCGGCTGCGGTAGTGCATGAAGGGAGGACCTGAGTGCTGAGAGTGAGTGGCATGGAGGCCCAGCCTGTTGTGGAAGTTTGAGGACATTTGAGCTGAGGTCAAAGGGTAGGCAAGAGTTCATAAACAAAGGGGAGGGAAGGGCCCATCGTCCTGTGTCTAGCAGGTGAGACAGACAGACAGACAGACAGAAGGCTGGGTAGTTGGAACCACAACTTCGGGGTTTGAGTCACCAAATGGGGCACCATCCAAGAAACTACTCTTCAAAGAAAAGAACACTGCAGGTGAGCATTGCAGGTAGCTATGGTGTCTCCCTCTCACCCTGTCCCAATATTGGTGCTGTGGCAGATAAACTAAGCATGGGGTGTAAGAATTAGGCGTGGGGGGAAACACAAGAACTTGCCACTTAATAGACAAGAAGGCTTGACTGTCATTCGTTTTTCATGAAAATGTCCTCAGCCCTTTTTACAGATGGGGACAACACCATCTTACATAGCTATTTAGGTGCTGGACACAAAGTAATGTTTGTTAAAGTCCCTGGAATTTGGCAGAGACTCAAAGTCTATTTCAGAATTTGCATGTGCCTGAATATCTCAGTTAGAAAAAGGCACTAATAAAAAGCAGGCACTCACCTCCTGAGTACTGAGACATTTCTGAACAGCCCGATTACCACTGAGCAGAGGCTGCCATGTGCAGGGCACTCTGAAGAAGGCTGCATGTGGAAGCATGTCCTCCAAAAAGATTTCACGAAATGACAGAATAGTGCTCCAGCACATGAATCAGTGGGTGGTGGCTCAGAGGGAGAAGCCCCCCCTGGGTATACACACGAGTATGCATGTGCATGTGTGCACGTGTGAAGAGGAGCTGGGCCGAGAGGGATGACCAGTCATTACGGACAAGACAGGAACAGCTGGGCTGGAGGGATGCCCACTAGGGAGATAAGATAAAGTCCAAATGCAGAGGCCCCCTGGTTCAGAGGGCCAGGTGATTCCCCAGGAGCAACAGAAAGCAACCCAAGGTCATGGAGCCAACAGAATAATAAAGCCAAAGACTCATGGGAAATCAGAGACTGGTTGAAAATTACTGGCTGAGTGGCTCAAATATGGCATAGATAGAGGAGGGGCCATGACATCCTTGCCAAATAAGGTGGTACCCAACATGCTGCCATGACCAGAAACATTTTAGGCCTAGAACAGAGAGAAGGACACAGTTGAGAAAGAAGAGATTCAAGGGAGGTTTGGCCCTAGAGCTCCTCTCAATAGACCATTCAAAGCTGGAACTGGGAGAGGTTTACAAGAAGTCCCCAAACTGTGTAAAGGATGGGATGGACAACCAGGACACCTATTCCATTCAGAGCCCCTTAGGTATTCTTGCCTGTTCCAGAAGAACAGAGGTCACCCAACACAGGACAGGTGTGCAGAACTGCCAGTGAATACCCATTACTCCCCCATTGCTGCTGCTTGCGCACTCCCAGCCACCTGCCCACTCAGCTGTGACATGTTAGGTGACTGGTAAGATGATGGCTTATGGTAATTTCCTATGATCTCATTTAACCTTCAGAGTGGCCCTGTGGGTGTGTGACAAGCAGACAAGTGGCATCTGCAGGAGCAAGGCTGTGCCCTTCTGTCTGTGTTCACGCAGGGAGGCAACGTAGGGATGCAAGATGCTGGGTGCAGGTGCCTCAGGAAGGCCAGAATGCTCTCTACATCTAGAGAGAATCTAATCACTAGGAGTGGATCAGAACATTACAAAAGGGAGGGGTCTGGACCCTTCAAAGTACCAGTGTCACCAAAGACCAAAACACGGGGGCTGTTCTAGGTCAAAAAACTTAAGGGTCACGACAGCTACAAGCAGAGCAATATCCTCAATGGGAGCCTAGCTGTATGCTGGGATGTGCTAGAAAATCTGAACATGGGCAGGGTATTGAGTAAGACTGTGGTGCCTATCTGATAAATGTGAAATGCCAGGTGTGATAACAGTGTTGTGGGTGTGTAGGCGAATGTCCTTGTTCTCAGGTGACAGAGGCTGAGGGATTTAGTGGCATGCTAGGATGTCTGCAACTTAGCCAAATGGCTGAGCAGGGAAAAAAAGCAAGTATGTGGAGGGGGAGAGAGTGCACCCGGAAACCTCAAAAACATTACGGACTGGGAAATCTAAGTGCGGGTATGTGGTGGTCATTACATTCTTCTTCAGTGTTTCTGTACCCTAACACGTTTCAGATGGAAGGAGGGGAAACAGAAGAGCCATGAGGATCGAAGATCCAACAACGGCAGAGAGCAGGCCCTCCCGGGAGGACCCGAGAGTGCCTTGTGGAAGGCCGGGACAGCACCGGCAGCTCATACTCACAGCCCCCAATCTTCTTGCGTAGCTCCCCGTAGCAGATCAGACCATACAGCTCCTGGGACGACTTCTTCAGCCCTCGAGAGAACACTGAAAGAAAGGAAATGAGAAAGCCTCAGAAGGGGGAAAACGCTGCTGGCCCAGGGCTGGCCAGCTCATGTGGACCAGAACAGCGAAGGGGCAACATTCAACACAGCTGATTTCTCAGTTTTGCTTACTGCACCTTGGAACCACAGAATGCCACCAGCAGGGCAGACTGAGCAAAGAGTATAATAGTACACAGAGCTCTTTTTGTAATCTTAAAAAGAAGATAAAACAAGAAAAAATAGGGGTAAGGGGTTAGAAAATTATTCTTAACAGGCAGGTCAGTATCCCCTGGGAGGACAAAATGGAATACCCAGCACAGCTGGCTCCAAGGAGGCGGAAGAACTGGACCATGCCATCACCGAAGTTGCCATCCGCCTCTCTCCACACAGGTAGAATCTGCCTCAGCTCCACGTGAGGTGGGCAGCCCTGGAACTCCGGAGGCTGACCTGTCTTTGCTTCCTCTGACTGGTTATCAACACGCCCCGGGCCTGGGGCCAGACCAGAGAGGAACTGTGGCTCAAATCTCAAGACTGCTAATCCATTCTCCCTTGTTCCCTAGTAACAGGACCAGTTATATTTGGGAAGCAACACATATGGGTAAGGCAGTGCTTGTCCCAGCCCGCCTCACGGCTAGACGTTGCCACAACACTCGGTCCTGGCCTTTGGGGCACGCAGAAGTACTGTGGGAGACTTCAGAAGCCTCCTTAGAAGACCAATTTGGGCAGAATTATGCTCGTTTTTCCTTGAGAGCTTCTGCCTAGAACCGTCTTGGTCGCAGCTATGCACTAAGGATGGCAGAGCGAAGAGATGGGGTGACCTGCATCCTTGATGCCTGCCCTGAACCGCCTACTGCAGGCGTCTCTGGCATGAAAGAATCAGTTATGACATTCTTAAGATGCTGTTATTTTGAAATTTCATATTCTATGAAGCCAAATCTAACTGTGATTTGGAAGCCCAGTCACAGCACAGTCTAGGCACCTTTTTTTAGGTCATCTCACAGAGCAGTGACCAATGTCATCAGCCCTTCATCCTCACAATGCTCCTCCCCAGAGGCCCCTTATCAAAGTCCTAATGTTTAGGCTATGTGACTATAATGACAGAAAAGGAGAAGGAAAAAATTAGCCATAGGAGACTATGGCTTTAAACAAATAATTTAAAACAAAGTTTCTGAACCTTGGACAGGCCCTGAGGAGCCTAGAGCTCTGCCAACATTGCACACCAACCGTTCCAGAATGTTTACCTGAAAGAAAGATCCACAGACCTAACTGGACTCTCACGGGGGACTACGACTCAGGATACTTTGAGAGCCTCTATTCAATGAATAAACAAATGTAGTCTCTCCTGACAATGGAATATTATTCGGCCATAAGAGGGAATGAAGTTCTAACAGAGCTACAACCTAAACTAACCTTAAAAACATCATGCTAAGTGAAAGAAGACAGACACCAATGACTAATATGATTAATTTTACATGAAATGTCCAGCACAGGCAAATCCAGAGACAGAAAGCAGACTATGGTTGCCAGGGGCTGGGAGAGGGCCGAGAAATGGCCACGCAGTATACACCCTGACGCAACTGCTAGTACAGCACAGAGAGGCAGGTGGGCCCTCAGAGTTAAAGGGGTCAACTAGCTGCCACCAGCTTGGAGACATCATCAGGACCAGCTAGAGAACCTCAGGTGGAGCCATCAGCTCAACAGAAAGCAGTCCTTCTCAGGGGGTCACACCAGGATGTCACCGGGAAAAAGATGTAGAATAATGCGATGCCAAGAAGGTAGGAGATAGAAGGGGGGAGAGAAATAGAGGCCACACTGCAGAGAAGGGAGAAAGGACACAAATTGGGTCTATCCCACAGAGCTTGCCAAGGGATGAAAGTGCAGTGTGGGAGCTGAACTTGAGGGCAGCAGATTTGTACTCTTCATCCCTGAGCTGGATAAAGGGCCGAGAGGAATGACACCTCTGGGGATGAGGTGAAGAGCTTAGGAGGTTGTCCAGCAGGGAGAGGTGACATTTTCTTAGAAAAGAAACATTCCTGCCCTGGCTGGTGTGGCTCAGCAGACTGAGCGCAGGCCTGCAAACCAAAGGGTTGCCGGTTTGATTCCCAGTCAGAGTACATGCCTCGGTTTCAGGCCAGGTCCCCGGTAGGTGGTGTGCGAGAGGCAACCACATAGTGATGCTTCTTTCTCTTTCTCCCTTCTCTAAAAATAAAACAAATCTTAAAAAAGAAAGGAAAGAAAAAAGAAAAAAAAAACCGAAACATTCCTTTAAGTCGCCTCTGAAGCCCAGGTGTGACAGGCCCTGCGACATACCAGACCTCGGACGCAACGAACGGGACCACGCCTGCACTGGGCACCCGCGCAGAACTGCGCGCCCCGCCGGTAGTACAGTGAGCCGAAAGGGCAGAGCGTGGTAGTCGATGGCTCCTGGAATCCCGTCACCCTTCCCTCCACACCTGATCACCAACAGCTTCCCCATCCTCGCACACCAGTGACTGCCTTTCTCTTCGGAAGACAGCTTTTCCAGAAGATTCAAAGGGATTGAAGGGCCTGCTCTCACAGACTGACTTTCATGAAGTCACCAAAGAATATAACATGTAATTAAAAAAAGAAAAACTGTAAAGACAACACAGCCCTGGCTGGGTAGCTCAGTTGGTTAAGAGCGCCATCCTGATACACCAAGGTTGAGGGTTCGCTCCCCAGTCAGAGCACATACAAGAAGAAACAATGAATGCATAAATCGGTGGAACAACAGATCGATGTCTCTGTCTCTCTGTCTCTCTCTAAAAACCAATAAAAAAAAAATTAAAGACAAAACAGAAAGAGCCAAACAGCTAACACTCATTCCTGTATGCCAGCTAGAAAGGCAGGGAGGGTGTCTGTGAAGATGACGGCTACCAGCACCAGCACTGCACCCAGCAGGTTATTTCGAATAAGCAAGTGATCTGAGAAACACGGCAGGTATGGCTGAGCACGGCGGCACACGCACAGATGCTGTGTCACAACCAAGGCAGAAAACGTTGCTGTCTTGCCATATGCCAAAGCCAGCCAAGAACCTTATGTGAATGGTCATGTGGACACTGAAAGCAAACAAAACAGTATTAGCAAAAGACCTGCCCAGTCAGACCCAGGGACTGCCCCCAAACCGTGGACAGCGTCAGCCCATTTCTGTGGGTCCTAGAAAGTGGTAATCTCAAATAAAGATATTCTGTTGAAAGATCTTCAACACAAGGTTCTCTCTGTGTTGTTTTTATCCAATAAAGACAACAGGCTGGCCAGAAGGTCCCCTGCGGCTAGAGGGACAGACTAGAGCTAGGACAGTGAGCCCTCCTCCAAGGCAGCCTCCTGGTCACATACAGTAACCGCTGAGACATGTGTCCTCAGCAAGGACTGGGAAGAGGATGCCCCATGAGGTTGCCAGTGGAAGGCTTTGAAGCCAGAAAGATACCTTAAAATGACTACTGATAAACAAGAGCATTACTGGACAGAGAGAACTTGGTGGTGCCATAAATACTAGCTCAGCAGAAAAAAGGCACTTTACATTGGGTCTCGCCATGAAAATAGGTCTTGCTGTGCGTGAATGCACTCGACTGCCAGGTGCTCCTTCCTGCATTTTTCAAGGACAGAACCAGATGGGAAATACGGCAAGCAGCGGAGAGACTCCCAGGCTACTTGGCTGGGCATTTGTCTCCCCAGAAGAAAACGAGACAGTGCTCATGACAAGATGCTCATAATGAGAAAAACTTACTTTCAAAAAGTAACTAAAATATATGATATGTAACAAAAAGAAAAAAGTAAAAGACAACAAAGAAAGCGCCAAAGAGCTAAAACCCATTTCCATGTGCCACACAGACTTAGTTTTCCCAATCATGTGAAGTTAGCTGAAGAAAGTACTTCTGGCCCTGGCCAGGTAGCTCAGTTGGTTAGAGCATTGTCCCATACACCAAAAAGGCTGCAGGTTCAATCCCCAGTCAGGGTACATAAGGAAAGCAACCAATCAAATCTTTCTCTCACACTGACGTTTCTCTCTCTCAAATCAACAAACACATCCTTGGTTGAGAATTTTTTAACAAAAGTACTTCTGAAGGAATTAAGCACTGTATAAATAAAGATGCTCATACTAAGAGGGTCTCTGGTCGGTGTGGCTCAGTTGGTTGGAGCATCGTCCCATTCCTAAAAGGCTGCGAGTTCGATTCCCGGTCTGGGCACACTGGGTCCCTGGTCTGAGCACAAATAAGAGGTAATCAATTGATGTTTTCTCTCTCACGTCAGTGTTTCTCTGTCTCCTTTCCTGTCTCTCTCAAAGCAATGAAAAAGTGTCATTGAGTGAGGAGGAAAAAAACCCCCAATAGAAGTGGACTGCGAGTCCAAAAGGAAAGGTCAAAGCTACTCACATATAAACAACTCAAACAATATTTAATGTAAAACATGCAGAAATTCTACAGCAAAATGAAGACATGGTCTGAAAACACCACACTTACAGAAGACGAAGATGAGGAGATGCTGGCTGCCTTGGAGCTCATCTCCTCGGCCTGCTGTCTAGGGGGCGTGGGCCAGGGCCTCTACTGCTAAGGCAGGGTTTTCGCACCTGCGCAAGGGCGACAGCACCGCCAGCGAAGAGCACGTGCGTGCTCAGCAACACAGCAGGCCCATGATTGGGTGATGGTGGGGGCAGAAGGGGATTCATGGAAGGATTTTGGGGAGTACTGACACGAAAGCTCAGTCTTGGAATGTGAACAGGGTTAGGGACACAGATGGTAGGGGTGGCAGGGGTCAAGGCACAAAAGCAAGAGCAGTGTAGAGTGGAGAGAGGGTGACCACAAAGGACTGATGGCACAGGTTCAAAGGGGGAGTGACCTGACCAACGATCAGTTATTCTGAGTCAGAAGTAATATTATTTGAAGAGAAGCATCAGAAATAAGTGACGTCAGTATAAGCAAATGTCTGGAGGGACTGGCCCATGACCAAAGCTGTGTAAGTGAAGACTAAGATGGAAGAAGAGGAAACTAAATACTGAGAGGGAGGAATGACAAGGAGACCCAATTCTCCTGACCCGTGGGGACAGGAGGAGGCAACGTCTCCTCTGAGGAGAGAAATGTGAATCAGAAAGAGTGCTCTGAGCCAGAAGTCGGAAATGCACCTGGCAATGACCTAGACGTGTGAATTAAAAATGTAAATCTTGATTTAAAGACAGATGGCGAGAGACTTGGGAAAGGGAGCCCTCCATCCCCGGGTGACAAGCAATAGGCTTTGCCAATCTTAAACCCAACGAGCCCCACTGGGGAGAGAACTGGAGGGGTCCACTGTGGCCTCTCCTCACTGACTGTGGTGTCCGGGGTCTCCCTCACAGTGGGAGACGCAGGCCCACAGCAGGCCAGGGACCCAGATACCACAGGCACTCAGAGCCATCAGAAGCAGGCACAGCTTCCTTGTAATTCAGTGCGACCAACTGGAACTAAATTACTAAATGGGTACCACCGGCCCAAGTGCTGCAAGGCAAGAACGTCGCAGGCCACATGTCCGGGCAAGAACAACGCCAGAGAGTGTGTTCTGCGACTTTTCAAGAACCCAGCTCCTGACCAGAGCCCGCCCCGACCTCCCAGCCCCCTGAGAGACTGAGCCTCAGTGCTCACCATTGTCAAAGTCGATGTACTTGGTGATCTTGTGCCACGTGCGGTAGTAGAAATGCCGCACCTGCTCCTTGTTCTTCACCATGCTGGCGGGCTTGCCCTTCTTCTTATACTTGAGGGCTATGTTGTTCTGGATCGCTTCAAAGTCTTTCCCATGCTGGAAGGTAAGTCCACGATAAAAGCAGAGTTTAAAACAACGCAGCCTTCTGTACAATGCAAACACTTCCAGAGAAAGGGGACCAAGGTGTTCAAGCAAGTGTCCTTCACAGCTCTTATTTGTGCATCAACTTCAACCTTGCTTCCCTACAACCTCAGGTTTTCATCAGAAAACAGCTAAAGCAGCAAAGGAAACTCAGGGCTAGAATTCTGGCAGCAGTGGGTATCAAGAGGCAAGGGCCCTGGAACAGGAGAAACATAAAGCTTATCACTCAAATGCCTTAATCTCTGAAGTTCTTCAGAGACCCTGGAATGAGACCATTCCATGAAGATAATCACGAGGAAGACAGAACACGAGGACCAGGGAGCTCAGGGGGTTACGTTATTTGGCATCTTAAAAAAATATTGACTATTGAGAAATACCCTTACTGTTTCCATCATTTAGATTTTCGGAAGAGAATTTATGTCCTAGAGAACAGAGTCACCTTTTTTGCTGTTTCTGGTACTGCCAAGAGAACCTACAGCTGGTACTCTCATCAGAACCAAGCCAGTAAGAAGTACTGGGAAGGGCCTAGAGGTTAACGGCACCTCAGCATCAACAAACACCCTTAGCTTCTTAATCCCACTTTCCAAAGGGAACCATGGCTCCTTGAAGAAATGGCTGCTGCCAGGTCTGGGGGAAGGAAAGTACCAGGTGAGTCTGGAATATCTTGTGATGCCAGAAAGTGAGGATGTGCTTCAAGTATAAAGAAACATGTTGAAAGCACACAGATGCCAACTTCAAGAGGCTGCCAGTGGCCAAATCTACAACAATTTGAGCAACAGAATCAGTAGTAACAATGAATGTCAACTGGAAGTGAAAAACAAAAGGAAAAAAAATAACAATGGTAAGAATGGATTATGATATATAGAATAATCTAAATATCCCTGAGTCCATACAAATATAAATAAATAGCTGAATAAATATATAAATATAGAAGGGAGTCCTTTTCCTTGCACTGGGTTTCTAATTAACAAACGTAGGAAGAATAGAGTCAGAAGATCATCACTGGCAAACATCATAGTAACAGCTGTTTCAAGGAAAAGCTGCAATGGTGGCTAAAATTAGCCAGAGAAAGGACAACGAGAAACAGGGTGTTTACATGGCCTCAAAGTAAAAAAATGACTTGGCAGTGGAGAGCCTGGGAGGTACAACCAGAATGCAGTGGTCACAGTCACACCACCAGGGCTGAGGCAGATGGCACCCTACACTCTGGAGAGGATGCTTGAAGGACAGCACAGCACTCCTGTGGTGCTCTCGACAAAAATGCAAATAAATAATAAAATCATGGAGGAAGCCTCAGTAAGCCTACACTAAGGGATGTTCCACAAACTAACTGTCTAGGAGCCAAAAGTGTCAGTGTCATCATGGGGGGAAGAAAGGGGGACAGAGCACCCGCCCCAGGTTGGAGGACTTGTCAGTCATGACATGCAAATGTGATGTGGGATCCGGATCCAAAGAGCGTCTGTGGGAATACCACTCAATGTGAGTAAGGCCTGCAGGGAGGTGAAAGTATGGTACCCACATCTCCTCACTTGTGGGTCACACTGCAGTTACGTGAACATTGGGGAAGCAGAGTGAAGGGCATATGAAATTCTTTGTGCCCTTTTTGCAAATTTTTCCAAGTCTGAAACTGTTTCCAAATGAAAATTTAAAAAATAAAAAAACCTAAAGAATTAAAGCTTGTTCATTCTTCATTCCTCCAGGGTCCAGGTCAGGTGCTGCCTCCCCTACAAAACTTCTCTCGCCTCCTGATTGGAACTATGACTGAAAAAATGCAACAGCCTCTCGATCTCATGGCTCCATTTTGCAGCTGGAGTAACACACCCAGAGAGACTTCAACTGACTTACCAGGTAGGACTAGATTGTGGGTTTTGTGATCCTATGTTCTAAAACTATATTGCCTTCTGAATTCTTGAAGCATTTGTTATTGCTTGCTTTCTAACAGTCCAGCTTTTTATGCCGTTACATTTACCAAATTGGATCCTCAGTCTCCGTAAGGGGGAACTTCTTTCCATCCCCAGAATGATAATAGTGTTCTATGCGTAGATGAGGCTTTCAGCAACCATCACCCCGGTAAGTAATAAGCACAGGATGCTAGCCGTATGACCGAGAGCAAGGTAGAACTCAAGAATTTTATGGCAGAAACAAATACAGACAGATGCATATAAAAGGGAAAAATGAAAAGCTAACAATAGGCTTTGTGAAGAACTGCCATTGAAATGGAGTAAGAGGATGTCAAGAATGATGTGGGTCTAGGCATTCATTCTGGTGCACCCCCTTTCTGTCATGGGGGCCATAACCCATGATCTTGGCCACAGGGGGAAATCTCGGGGTGGGAGGAAGGGTGCGGCCAAGTTGGGTCCTCCTCAGACTGTGCTAACTAGAATAGGGGTGGGACTCTTGCCTCTGGAGAGAATAAGCACAGAAATGTCACCCCCAATGCAAGAGGATGACGGAGAGAGGACAGATGACATAGCCAGTCTAAGCCAGCCCCTCACCTGTCCCGCCCAGCCATGAGAATCACTCAGTCCCTTGTCTCTTTATGCTACTCTGATCTGGGTCTCTGTCACAGGAATTATGTGTATCACAAAGGCAGGGACAACCTGGACCAACACTGCAGAACCTTTTCTCAGAGGCCTTTACTCCCATACTCCAGAGTTCAAGATATCCATGGTCATACATGCCCCAGCTAATCAGCCATACATCAAGTCCTTCCGAGTTTTGGTCAGAGGCACACAATGACAACACACAAAGCCATCGCTCATTCTCTCTCTCCCCCCCCTCCAACACACACACACACACACACACACACACACACACTCTCTCTCTCTCTCTCTCTCTCTCTCTCTCTCTCACTCACTCACTCACTCACTATTTGGGATACATAGTACCAATAGTGGAAAGCATTAAGTGATTAGAACAGCCACTTATTATTATTAATCAAGGGAATCAGGTGACTTCAAAAGAAACACCTAGTAGAAAAATTTAGAACAAGAAGCCTAGCCCAAAGAGAAGAAACTGAACTAATCCACCTGAAGAAAGGTAAGGGGAGGTCACTCATGCGAATTCTTCCCCTCCTTTTAATTGACAACCACTTCCGTTGCTTTCTTCCAGACATAATTGCCTCAGTTTAGCACCAGCAATGGTTGCTATTCTAAGAACATTCCAGGAATCACAAGTCTTCTATGCCTGACAGAAAACTTAAAGAAAAGGCAATTTAGGGACATATTCTATACAAAAACAGCCTCTGTATTGTAAAGTTGTCAAAGAGGAAAAAAAGAACGCATTTGAATTTATTTGAATGACTCTGCACCTACTGGAACAAGCCTTGCTTGCACACTTCCTTCTCTCCTTGGACAACTGAGTCAAACATCACTGACACACCGGCCTCCTCCATCCCAGATGGACAGACTGAACCGTCAGCTCCAGGAAAGGAAAAGACCAGCAACAGGAATGTTCCAAGTTCTAGTTCTCTGCCTCCACTTAGGAGTCTTTTTTTCTGGCCTATGAGCACTTCATGGTTTCAATTCCAAAGGCTCCTTTCTTTATTGAGCCCATTTCACAGGTGTGGCCAGACTTTCCTATCACTCCAATTCTTTCACCATTAAAAGAATAAGTGGCCCATCTAAACAACCTACTTTAGATATGACAGCCCAAAGACGTATCCTAAAATACAGTATGTGCACAATAATACTTCTAACAGAATCTGGAAGGAACAGCAACAATCAACAACACAATGGTTAACTGGAACAAAGCTTAGCCAGAAAGTTAACACTTAGATGTTATGGGCCACTCAGTATCTGCCATAACTGCTCAACTCTGCCCCTGCAATCAACATTGGCCAGCGACAACATACAAGTGGATAGGCATGGCTGTGTTCCAATAAAACTTTATTTACAAAAATAGGCAGAGAATACGTAGACCATGGATTTGCCTACCCCTGGAGAATATTTATAGGCATGAAAAAAATACTGAACAAAAGAATTATACATGTCAAAAATGCATATGACAATAAAAACAGCACACTCATTATAATTACAAAGATTTGAGAAAAAAACAAATAAAAAACTAAAACAAAACATGAAAGTGAAAAAAGGCCGGCAGGGAGCATGGCCATTTCTCTTGGTGTGGGATCAGGGAGCAGCTTTTCTGTTCTTTAGGACTTTCTAGTTTGTCCCAGGTCAGCTGTAACATCTCTCAGGGCTAAGCTGGCTGTTCTGACTGGTATCCCCATGCACCCCCTCAGCAGACACCCCCTCCTGATGGGCTGCAAGGCCTAGAGAGAAGGGCATCACTCTTCAGCCAAGAATATGTTTGACCTGGTCAGTAGCTTAGTTGGTTAGAGCATTGTCCTGATACACCAAGGTTGCGGGTTTGAACCCTGGTCAGGGCATGTTCAAGAATCATCCAAAGAATGCATAAATAAGTGGAACAACACATCAATGTTTCTCTCTCCCCATCTCTCTCATAAAATAAATTAAAAAAAAAAAAAAGAGCCCTGGTTGGTGTAGCTCAGTGGACTGAGTGTGGGCCTGAGAACCAAAAGGTTGCCAGTTCGATTCCCAGTCAGGGCATATGCCTGGGTTGTGGGCCAGGTCTCCAGTGGGGGACGACGCATGAGAGATAACCACACACTGATGTTTCTCTCCCTCTCTTTCTCCTTCCCTTCCTCTCTCTCTAAAAATAAGTAAAATTTTAAAAATAAAATTAAAATTAAAAAAAGAAAACAGTATGTTTGAAAGACAATGGGTAGAACCTGAAAAACAAAACGTTTAAAGACGCTTCCACCTCTCTAGTAACATCTTTTATTTATTTATTTGTTGACTTATTTATAGTAATCTTTACCCAAGGAAATGCTTATTGATTTTGAGAAAGAGAGAGAAATATCCACCAGTTGCCTCCCATACATGCTCCAACCAGGGATCGAACCCACAACCTAGACATGTGCCCTGACGCACAACTGAACCCTCAGGCTTTTGGTGCAGAGGACGATGCTCCCACCAACTGAGCCAACTGGCCGAGCAGTAAGTAACAGCTTTTAAGTCACAAATACGGTGATAAAAGGACATGGTCAGAGGGTGAGGTCTCAGCCCCGGGGACCCACACTCGCCACAGTCATTTAGAACCTCCACTGGAACTGCTGACCCAATGGATCTAGTAACTGTGCAGTAAAAGAGGCAAAGGAGAACTGGAAGTACAAACGATAAGAGGCTGAGAGTTTGCATGGCCTCTTCTGGCCCCGTAACTCACTTACCTCATACAGTCCCTCAAAAAAAGTGTTCTTGTCTTCGGTGCTCCACGACTCCCACTGCCGACGGACCTTTTTGCCTTCTTCCTTTTCACCGCCAGAAGATCCTAGGTTCCGGGAGGAGGAGCGAGAGGCCCCTGCAGGAGCAGCAGGGGCAACCCCAGACCCATTTCCGGATGATGATCCACCACCATCAGCTCCTTTGAGAGAAAGAACTATATAGTTATCTGTTCCGGGAAGCCGGAGAGGCTCGGGAAGGCCCCACTCCACACCGCCGACTGCTGAGGTTGCAGGTGGGACAGCACGTGGGAGTTACTGTGCACCCGGTGGGGCTGCTCGCTGCTCGGTGATGGCATCATCCTGCCTGACCTCGTACTCTTTCAAATGTTTTTACAGTGGGAAAAAAAGGAGAAAGAACATTTATGTGGAATCATTTAAAAAGCACAATGATGACATCCATGACGGAGGTATACAGCACTTTCTTCTCTCTGGACCAAAACCAAGCATCCCATTTCATAGTATTTTTTTCAAATGAGACTTTGGCTGAAATAATTCTTATCTTTTCAAATAAACAAACTGAAATTCCATACTCAAGAAAACATTTAAATGGGTATAAAAAACAGTGCCTTCTTTTAGATATAATAAATACTTTAGAATATGAATCATTTGATGCCTAAGAATCTGTAAAAAGTCTTGCAACTCCTCTTTTTCAGGTGTCAGCTCAGAGCGGGCCCAGGTGTAACTTTCTTCGGTTACCCAGAATCCGATTCACCCAACACCAAACATCTCCGCCATGCTGCCAAAGTTCGACCCCAACAAGATCAAAGTCCTACTGCTGAGGTGCACAAGTGGGGAAGTCAGTGCCAGGTCTGCCCTGGCCCCCGAGTCTGTCTCCAAAAATGGTTGTGATGATGTCATCAAAGGAATAGGTAACTGGAAGGGTCTGTGAGTTACAGTGAAACTGACCACTCAGAACAGACAGGCCCAGACTGAGGTGGTATCTTCTGCCTCTGCCCTGATCATCAAAACCCTCAAAGAACTGCCACGAGACAGAGAGAAGTAAAAAACAAAAACAAAACACACACATTAACACAGCAGAAACATCACTTCCAATGAGGCTGTCAACAACGCCCAACAGGCGCGGCACAGATCTTCAGCTAGAGAACGCTCTGGACCACGAAAGAGATCTTGGGGACTGCCCAGTGTTGATGGCCACCACTCTCGAGACATCACAGATGGTACTGACAGTCATGCAGTGGAATGCCTGACTATGGGGGGAAAAATACAAGGTCCATACACAAATAATGCCCCTTTTTAATTTCAAAATCATATGTAATATATGTAATACATTACATATTACATATATTACATATGTAATTCTGTAATATAACAATATCACACTCAAGTACACCATGACATTTTAGGTGAAATGTTCAAATTACAACTATAAATTATTACACCTATATTATTACCCTACCAATGTATTTCAATTAAAGATGATCTGACACCCCCCAAAAAAATAATCTTTAAACTCCTTCTTCTTTATCAATTTCCATCAGCAAAATCTGGTATTCAGAGAGTGACCCTACGACCTTAAAAATGCTTTTAAAGCATCGGTTCCTAATCTCAAGACGAGACCTTAAAAACCATGCTGAAGGGGAAAGCACCATCAAGTATAATACAGGGCTTTCATGCCAGCTGTAAGCCAAGAACTCTGCACTCATAGGACAATTAAGGCAATAAACAAGAGTTAAAGGTCACGGATAAAAAATGGTTATGATCTAACCAAATGCTCCCACCTATCTAGTGCCTCTCAGAGGAAACTCAGAGGACTCCCAGGGTATCCCTGTGATACCAGCATTCTCCTTCCACAGAACTGCAGGGCCATCAAGTGGAGAGAAAACTTCAAACTCTGAACAAGGGTAAAAATAAGATCATAAAAATGAAAGTGCTTTACAAAGCAAAAGCCAAACAAATGCAGATTATCATTAAGATGTTTTTCCAATACGGTAATTAAGAGCTTTCCATTGAGATTCACTTCTTGGTTAACCTGGTGGGCCCTCCCTGGGCAGCTCTGTGCAGACAGGGGCCACATCCCTACACAGGGGTCTACTTCCAAAGGATAAATGAAAAAAACAAGCCATTTCACAAAAAATCATCGAAATAAAAGAAACGAGGCTCTAGTCAGGGTAGTTAGAATGTCCTGATATGCCAAGGTTGCAGGTTCGATCCCCAGTCAGGGCACATATGAGAATCGACCAATGAATGTATAAGTGGAATAACAAATCGATGTTCCTATCTCTAAAATCAATTTTAAAAAAGAAAGAAAAATTTAAAACCTGTTGATCCATGTAAGCTTTCAAAGACTATTCCTGGAAAAACACAAGATGCTGGTGCCAAGGCTGCCTGGGGAACAGTGGGAAGCAGTCAGTTTCTACTGTTACCCTTTTCAAAGTGTGTACCATGAATCTGTTATTATGTCAAAATAGGGAGCATTTGAAAACAGTTAATCCCACCAGCTTTCACACAGTAGTATGTGTTTTTTATACATGCTGAAGTACTCGACCATATGGAACGGTTTGGTTCTTTTGTGCGCAAAAAAGTGTATCAGTTTCACGATGGGCTGGCTTCCTAAAGCAGTGATTTTCAACCTTTGTCATCTGAGGGCACACATAAACTAATTCTAAAATTCTGCAGCACACAAAAAAATATATTCTTTCCAATTTGACAAAAAAAAAAAAAAAAAAAAAAAAGGTTCAATTTTGGTCCATTCACAAAGGACAGCTATTATTGAGTTGGCTGTTGTCATTTTTTAATTCGACGATCTAAGGGAAAAGAAGTCAGTGCCCCTGACTAAATACTCGGGTATTGCATGTTGAAAAAATTACTGCCCTAAAGTAACATGAGTAGGTACCAGAAATCGCTGGTTTATCAGAGCTATACTGTCCAATTTCACAACCACTAACCACATGAGGCTATTTACTTATTCTCATCTGAGGACATGCCCATTGATATTAGAGGAGAAGGAAAGGGAGGAGAAGAGAGGGAGAAAAACATCGGTCAGCTGCCTTTCCGACTGGGGATTGAACCCTCAACCCAGGCATGTTCCCTGACAGGGAATTGAACTCATGACCTTTCAGTTCACAGAATAACACTCCAACCAACTGAGCCACACCAGCCAGGGCCACATGAGGACATTTAAACTGAAAGATTAATTAAAATGAAATACAACAAAATCTCAGTTCCTCAGTCACACTAGCCACACTCCAGTCATCGGCGTCCATGTGTGGCTAGTGGCTGCTGTGCTGGACAGCACGGAACATTTCTTTCATTGCAAAAAGTGCCACAGCCAGAGCTATATGTGAGTGTTTGGCATTCACTGTCCCAAACACAGTTAGAGAAAAGAAGATAATCAAGCTAAAGCATTCTACATCCCAGCCTTCTTTGCAGCTGCCCCTTCCTATCCCGCATGTACTTGTAACATTAACTTAATCCATGGAATCTCCATGCTACAGAGTGGGCTAAGAAAGTACTAGACACACAACCTGGCTCTGTCCATTCCTCACCAAACCAAACCTGAAACATGACCTAATTAATGAACCTGGCACTTCACACGATGTTTTCAATGGGTATGGCAACTTTAGAACACATTTCCGGGGAAAACTGGTTTCATTCCACTTCTAGCAGGTCTGAGATGCATTTAAAATACCACTCTTAAAGAAAAGAAGTTGTGGTTGACTTGAAGCCCACAACCCTTCATTTAATCATTTCAGGAAGGGATGCCTGTCCACCCCTGCACCACCTACAACAAAGAATTTCAGAGTCGTTTTTCAATTCTAATGAAATACTCACTAAACTCTTTCTCTGAAAGGTTTTATTTATTTATTTTTAGAGAAAGGGAAACGGAAGGAGAAAGAGGGGAGAGAAACACCAATGTGTCGTTGCCTCTTGCACGCACCCCAACGGTGGACCTGTCCCAAAACCCAGGCATGTGCCCTGACTGAGAATCAAACTGGCAACCTTTAGGTCTGCGGGACAATGCTCAATACATTGAGCTACATCAGGCAGGGCAAAACACTCACTAAAACTCTTCCTGAGATATCGGCAATTCATTAATCAGCCCTACGGACATAGGTCTGGTTCACCTTTGCCCGCACGTGCTGCCATTAGATGTACTTGCAAGTAACAGCATTTTTGAAAATTCTAAAGCTATTTTGCTAGCTTTTGTGAGATTCATCAGGTCACAGTACTGGTGACCCAAGAAAAGAAATGAATGATGAGGAAAACAGAATGGAAGCATTTCAGAGCTGGAAGAGACCTCGGGGGTACAGAGCAGGATAAACCAAAACCGTGGACGTAAAAGAAGGTCCAACAGTCAAAACAGCTCTGCTGAGATGCATGAGGCAGCAAACCTCAGAGCAGCGCCAGGCCTCAGAGCAGCCTGCCACTCTCACGGGCTTCTGATGGTTCCAAAGGATACACCCTCGGTAGAAGAAAATAAAGCAATGTGAACATTCAAAAAAGAAAGCAAATCACCCCTAAGAGACTCTTTTAAACATTCAATACCCACCATTCGAGACCTTGTAATGCCTTGTAAAAGTAAAGTAGAATCACAAAGCTTCCAGACAGAAAGAGAACTGTGGCATCTGGTTCATTCCCAACGCTTCAGAGAAGAAAGGCTTCATCACTTGACCTCAGGCTCAGTCCGGGACTCCAGCTCAAGCGTTAAAATCAGGAAGTAGGACCAGGGATGCTGGAAGAACATGATGGTGCCCACCCAGGAGAGGCTGCCCTCGGGACAGAAAAATTCAGATGAAAATGGTGATGATTGAAGGTAGGAAAGGGAAGCAAGCAAGAACAGAGGTAGAGAGGAAAGAAGCAGAAAGAGAATTTGAACAAGATCAGGCAGGTGTGAGGGCTTTCCCCAGCGATGAGAGTGAGTGTGAGAAACCCAGCAAAAGGCAAAGAGATTGAAGTTAACCCTCCAGCAGCAACATGTCTGAGGCAACAAAGAGGGTTAGCAAGAGTCTACATCAGAAGTCAGTGTCCAAGAAGCCTGAAGGGAAGTGCGCTGCAAGAATGGGATGCCCCACAGTGAGCTCTTTGAAAGCAAGAACAGTATCTTACTTTCCCATGCCCAAGGTTGGCACCAGGCCTCACAAAGAGCAGATGCTCAATGAGCGCTCAGGAACCAACAGAA